TTTTTTCTTTTTCATCATCTTTCTTTCTCTCTCTCTCTCTCTCTCTCTCTCTCTCCCTCTCTCTCTCTCTCTCTCTCGCTCGCTCGCTCTCGTTCTTTTATCCTGCCTCAACAAACAAGCAGCACTCCCACTCCCACCCATCGACGCAATTATTCTCGCTCTCCCTCTCACCCACGACCCTTGCAAGCCAACCACTTTTAGACTCGTTGTCTCTCGTTCCTGTTTGCGCGTTGCCCTGTGCATCCAGACAGCCTATCACATCCACCAACAGACTTTCAGTCATCTCCCTTCCTTGTCTCTTTCCCTCTCTCTCACACTCTCTCTCTTCCCTTTGACTTTTCTCCCTCGTCTTCTTTCTTCTTTCTTCTCCTCCTCTCGCCTGCCCTCTTCTCGACTCGACTCGACAAACCGCACATCAGCATGCAGCATATCACGATGACTACAATCGCGCACCCGCCATCCAAAGACAGCCCTTCGGCCTATCACCATCACAACAGCAAAACGCATCACCCTCCAACACCTCCACCTCCACCCACACCTGCTCGCATCGTCCAGTGCGGCATCTGTCTCGACGACTTTGAATGGTTCTCGCTCAAGGACCTCAACGGCTACCAGGAAGACCCCAAAGACACCAACACCACCGCCACAAAACCAACCACACCCATAACAATCACCACACCTCCCCTCACTTTACCCCCTCCTCAGATTTGCGACCGACGCTTTCACTTCTTTTGCAGCCATTCTCGCAACGTCCAGGCCCCTACACGCGCTCGCCAAGGTCGAACAGCAACCCGTTGGACAGGGGCCATCTTTGGCAGCAGCAAACAACGTGCTCGTCGAGAACAGAAGCTCAAACAAGTCACTGCGTCAGGCCCCTCGGTCGAGGCGTTGAAACTCGGATGCTCGTTGCACACGGGTAAAGACCATGCGTTCTGTCTGGAGTGCTTGGCAAAGTATATCGACACCCAGGTCAAGGCGCAGGCTTGGCCGATTAACTGTCCACATGAGAACTGCCACGAGGCTGTTTGTTCGTTTGCTGTTGAGACTCTTCTCGGGAGCGAGGCCCTCCAGTGGCACCGACTCGCTGTCGAGCACGCTATTCAGAAGAAGGTAAGCCGGAAAGAACGTGTTTGTTTGTGTACTTTGTGTACTTTGTGAGGAGAGTGTGCGATAACTTTTTCTGTTACCTGTTGTTGTTGTGTATGAGGACATGGGCCATCTGTTTGTGTTCCCGTCTGCCCCCTTTTGTTTGCTACAGTGCATTGATCACCCAACCAACCAAACACCCTTTTTTTTTCTTGCGGACTTTTGTACTCACATCGCCGGCTGCTTTTTCTTAATATAGATCTACTGTCCATACACAGCGTGTGCTCGGCTGATTGACGGCGACCGCAACGATGAACAGGACCCGATCGATCGCCACTGTCCCTATTGCAACAAGCCCTTCTGCTCCATGTGCTTTGGCGAAACACACGAAGGTATGCCGTCGACTAATCGGGACAAATCACCGTGACAGCCCCGACCAGGCGCAACATGAATGAAACAAACGGGCTCTTTCGACATGTCCTTCGCCCAGACCAACTGACTGACTGGCCCCCCCCCCCCC